CTTTTGGTGGATTTAGGGAGGGAGAGGGTGGTGCCTTTGATTTCCTGTTTCTAAATGGCTGTGGTAATATAGCTGGTCTTAAACAAAAAGACTTTTTCGACCAGATAAACAAAAACAAGCCACCTCTGCCAGAAGTTGGTTTCCCTGGCCCCAAAGAAATCCCCCAACCACCCTTTCTCTGGGGCCTAATCACCACCGTTATCACAGAAGGCGAGGAAAGAGGACACCTCGGTGGCGACAGCTGCCACAGGAAACTGCCTAAGAGTATCTGTCTTATCTGAAAGCAGCTGTGAACAGCCTCACTGAGGCACAAACGCCTCAACTGCCAAGCAGCCACCCCACTGGAAACGGTCTGCCCTTCGGTTATTCAAGGCCGTTTCCAGATTCATAACGGCCTCCTGACCCCTTTTCAAAGGAAGTCGAAGCTAGATATCACAGGACTCGCTCCAAAACTCATTTCACAAATAAGCAGAAAAGAGTCTTTAATTTAAAATTAAGTATGTGTAGCAAAAGGATAAAAAGCACACTTGGACTGATTCCACGCCAAGGAGGGGGCAGGTAGAGGTGTGTGCAAGTCTGTAGGTTGAAAAGGCTGTGGTTAAATTTTCTGTCTTTAAACTTAATAGTCACCATAATGACGTATCTTTCTAAAATACAAATGACTAAGCAGGGTAAAAAATGCATCATGTGCTCTCAACTATTTTTTTAATATATATATTCCATAATAGATAGAGAAAAAGTACCAGTCGCCTCTGGGTGGTGGGATAAGGAAGGACTGTGTCTCCACTGTACTTCCTAAATTTTCTAAAATGAGCACATATTGCTCATAATTAGATTAAAATTGCAGTGCAAGTGTTTGAAATCTAATCAAGTGAAACTACAAAGGGGTAACCCAAGAAGTCTTTAAATAAAGGGTATAACCTTTCAATACATTCAACCAAAGCAAAAAAAAAAAAAAAAAATCCCAGGCGACAGTGAAAGTAAACATATTGCAAAGGGGAAAAAAAATTGCAATGAGAGGAAGGGAACAAGGCAAAGGGCTTTCTCCTCCACAGCCTTCTATGAACAGCTTTCAAACAAAAGCACAGGCCCTGAGTGTAACACAAAAGGAAGGTGCAGAGCAGCTGTCTCCACTGGGCACACAGGCAGCCTGGGCGCCTCTCAGCTCTGCCTTGCAGGACACGGCCCCATCAAAGGCCCGCTGTCTGGGGCAGTCTGCAGACTCTCTAATGTGCAGATGCACCTTCACAGGATGTATTCACTCAGGAGCTCAAGCATGTGCAGGAACCACAGGCACGTGTTTCCATTCTCAGTGACTTCAGGACCAGTTCATGCCCGCAAAAGGTGTCCATCCTGCAGATGTTTCTCCGTATCATTGAGCTAAACAAGGCCAGGCTTCCTTAGCACCCAGGCTACTGAGCAGTGTCTCAGCTGCCTCACACCCCCAGGCAGCAAATAGAGGCCATGGGGAACATTCCAGTCTGGTGCATCAGGAGCTTAAGCTGAATCCATGTCTCAGGGAATCTCAAAGACCAGAAAGGCAGGGAAGTGTCCCCACCAGACAAACCCAGGCATGCTTGGCAAGGCTTGACACACCTTCCTGAACACCGCAAAAGGCAGGCTAAAAGTGAGTTTAGCCATTTCACACATTCACCCAGCAAATATCGTATTGAGAACTTACTATGTGTTGGGCACTGTGCAAAACATCAGGATTTGAATGGAGGCCTAAAGCCTGGTCCCTGCCCCATAAGATATTCTTGACAAAGACCATTGACGCAGAGTGTCAAAGATCTAGAGAAAACTGCCTTACTGACTACTGACTGACAAGGACCACTTGGACTGAACCTTCCAACCAAATTAAAGATCAAACACTCAAGTGTGCAAATTACTCAAGTTTATGAATTAGAAAAGTATAGAAGACCATGGAACCCAGATTAAAATCAGAGCAGGAGACACCCCCCACCACCCAGCTGTCTCCTTTTACTCTTCCTCTCCCACCTCACACACTCCAGGTATCCTCTAGCCACCAATGAATCCATGCCACTTGGAATACTATTTTTCTATCTCAGATATAGGTAGTATTTGGAACTCCTGCCAGAGGGCTCCAAAATTTTAGGGACACAGTATGTGCCATGCTGTGCCTTCTGCCTCTCTCAGGATGATCTGGAATGACTAAAACTGAAGAGCCAGGGAGAGGATCAGTTATCATTACCCTCAATCCTTCAGAGAAGCAAAGATCAGCTAACTTCCAAAGAAATTCAAAGTGGTAGGGAAAAGATTTAGCATCAGCCGTCAACAGTGTAGTTTTAAAAAATGAGGGGAAAAGAAAATGTTTAATATGGATTTCAAAGCATATTTTTGTGTCCCATATAATAATAAACCATTGACATGGAGTTGTTGAGGAACTGTATGTAATTCAAAATAAGGAAGAATTCTCAAGCAAGCTATGTACAGTTCTACGCTCCATAGAATGTATCAAAAGCAGTATTTGCTATGTACTGGGAGGAAAAAATATATTGGGAGAGCACACTCATAGAGATGTGCATAATAAACAAATGCCATTTCTTGGGAGGAAATGGAACCAGGAAGGGAAGCAAAGGCTGAGAGCAGAGGGTCCAGGACAGAGAGGATCTTTATCAGGAGAGCCTTACAAAACGTTCTCACACTGGTCCCAGAAGACCAGACTGAGTTTCCAGCCGGCTGAATAGTTTAACTAGAACTGGAAATTTTGCAAAGTGCCAGTTGCAAGTTGGGAGTTTCTTCCTGGTATCTCTGGCTAGAAAGTTACTTCCTAATTCTCACACAGGAAAATAAAAGGCCAGGATGCATGGAAACCAGGGGTAATCGTATTATTAGCATTTCACTGTGACAACAAGTACAGAGATGTTCAAGTGCATTCTTGCCGGAGGCTGAGATTTCTCCCTGTTCCAGGCATTTCTGCAGGGAATTACACGGCACGTTCTGTCCAGGCAAAACTTTAAGTGGCCTAAACACATCTCCAGAGTCTAGACCAAAGCATTCAGTCCTTTGTTTAAACTGTTTGAGGCTCAGTGTATTTGCACACCACCCATCTCCAGGCCTCTGGGGTGGAGTCTGGCCTGGTCTCCAGGATGCCACTGTCTGTCTGGTCCTGCCGGCTGCAACCACGGCCTGGCTGCCGGAATGCAAGTGAGGTCCATTTTTAAACCCCGTAGAGGTTTCACAACCACAAGTTTGGGTGAGGTGACAAGCCCCCCTGTAGTTTGCTGACATGAAACTAAAAATACCTGATGGCAAAAGCCATCTTTTACAAGGCTGGCTCAGATGTCTTGAGGTTACAAGTGATGGTGTCAGACCATACCGTTGGCAGCGTGGCCGCCTCAACAACTGCTCCTGAGTGGGGCAGAGGGGCCATTCTGTCCCAGCACTGTCAAGGAATCTCGCAGCCGGCTGCCTATTTGATGGAAAGAACAGCTCTACTCCTCTGCCACCGACCCAAACGCAGGCTGGATGAATTCAGGTCTGCTGAAAGTGTTAGTTAGAAACACACTGAAAGGAGAAGACGGAGGCAAAAAGAAAAACAGCAACCCGGTTTGCCTGCAAGGAAACGTGTTTCCAGCTCCCTCTTCCTTAAAATTATAAAAGCAAATAATTGCTGCAACTATGCTGAGAAAGACAGCTCACAGAGGTAGAAAATGGATCTCAGAGCCAATGTGGCCAGGGCCGGCCTGCCGAGGGCCGGAGTGGGGGGGCCTTGGCTGCGTGGGGAGACCACACTGCCCCGGAAGCCTCCTGGGAAGAAGGTTCTTTCTACCTGTTGGGCTTCAGAGGCGAGCTGGGAAACCCCGGCCGCCGCGCTCCAGGGCGCCCAGCCCTTCCCAAGTCCCAAACTTTCCTTCGCGCCCCTCGGAAGGAGCGAGCCTTGGCTCTCCCCTAGTCCAGATTTCAGACGTGAAACAGTCTGAACCACCGGGGTCTGGGAGGTGGGGACTTATTCCTGAACTGCCCAGGGGACTTGGAGTGCTCGGAGCCCGGGAGGGGGGTGCAACCTGACGGTCAGACCAGGTCCCGACCGAAGAAGTTTCCTCCAAAACTGTGGTGACCAAGATGCGGCGAACGAGGAGCTCCGGGCTCCCCGGCGCAGGGTCGGGACTGGGGTGCGTGAGGCTGGGGTGGGCGGGCGAGGGGGCGGCTGG